CGGGCTTTGTACCTTTCAATGGAGCCATCAGCATTATGTTTCACAGTGAATACCCATCTACATCCAACCGGTTTCTTTCCTTTGGGTAGGCCAACCAGTGCCCAAGTATTATTCTTCAACAGGGCATCCATTTCGACTTGCATTGCATCTTTCCATTCTGAAACTGATAAGGCTTCTTGCACTGTTCTTGGAATAGGGACATTAGCAATGGAAGTGAGATAGGACCGGTAAGAGGAAGATAGACGATCATAGGATAAAAACCGTGAGATGCAGTGAGCTGTAGATGTGGTGCAATGACGTTTCCCTTTGCAGATGGCAATAGGGAGATCAAGGTCATCCACAGGAGGGGAAGTGGCAACAGTGAAAGGTGTCCCAGTGGGCTCTGAGACTGTAATACCTGGATCTGGAGCCGCAAAAGGAACTGGAGTTGGCCTGGACTGCCGATGACTAGGATCAACCTGCTTGCATCGCCTGTGATAGACTCTCAACTCCTGATCCCTCTGACCACCCTCACCACTACAGCCTTCATCACCCAGTGGAATAGGTAAAGGAACAGCCCCACTCCCACTACGCTCCCCCTAAGGAAAGAGACTCAAAATCCCACTCTCACTGCTCTCCCCCTGAGGAGAAACCCTAGGATAATAGGGTGTCTCCTCGAAGAAGGTGACATCCATTAAGACAAACATTTTCCCTGAAACAGGATCATAGCAGCAATAACACTTTTGAGTTTGTGCATAACCGAGGAAAATGCATTTGGAGGCCTTAGGTTCAAACTTGGAATGATGAGGCCCGAGAAGCTGAACGAAACAGGTACAACCAAAGGTTTTAAGGGGAACGATGAACAACTCCCCGTCTGGGTATAGAAGGGAAAAATGGGTTTTCATATCAAGAACCCAGGAAGGAACTCGATTAATGAGATATATTGCCATGAGGATAGCATCACCCCAGAAACGAATAGATACATTGGAGGTAAACATAATGCTTCTAGCCACCTCCAAGATGTGCTTATTCTTCCTTTCGGCAACTCCGTTCTGCTGCGGTGTATGAAGGCAAGTGCTCTGGTGAATAACTCCATGGCTAAGAAGGTCAATGGCTTAGCAAAGTATTCCTTTGCATTATCAGATCTAAGGACTTTGATTTTGGCCCCAAACTGAGTGAGAATCATCTGATGGAAGTTTTGGGTCAWAGCAGGAACCTCATCCCGAGAACGCATAAGGTTGACCCAAGAAAATCAGGTATGGTCATCAACAAACAATAGAAAATATTTGTACCCACCCATAGAAAAAATGTGATATGAACCCCAACCATCAGTATGCACAATATCAAAAGAATAATTACTCATTTTATTACTCAAAGAATAAGAAGTTCTACAATGTTTGGCAAATTCACAACTCTCACACCTCAACTTTGACAACTCAACAGACTCAAATAAAGCTGGAAACAGACTCTTCAAGGACCGAAAAGACAAATGACCTAATCGGTTATGCCAAAGCATAACTGGACTCACAAACTGAGAAACAAAGGACTTCTTATCCATTGTCTCTTCCCAATGAGAACTTTCTCCAAACAGATAGATCCCATTCGTCTCACGACCAGTCTCAATCACCTTCCTCGTCTCCAAGTCCTGAAAAACACATCGGTCAAGGAAAAAGTTCCTGAACAGTTCATATGTTTGGTAATACTACTGACTGAAAGCAGGTTAGTATCAARCTTAGGAACATGCAAGACAGAAGATAAAGAGATAGTATCCGATAACTTGATGTCACCCTTGCCCGAAATGGGAACAAGAGAGCCATCAGCAATGGATACTCTATCTCTACCAGAGGACAAGTGATAAGTAGTGAACAATGATGGCAAACTAGTCATATGGTCGGATGCACCTGAATCTATTACCCAGCAGTGGTCAATATTACCTGGAGCTGAAGCATGATAAGCTGAGGCTCGAGTACCTGAATGTGCAAATGCAATGTAGCAGGAGTTGATGGTGACTGAGATGGCTGAGCTGAACTCCGAACTTCCTTTTCCAACTGTACGAGGGCAGCCCGAACCGCAGCTAAGGTCTCTAGGGATGTGCCTTTTGTGCCTGATGAGGATGTTGAATCAATGTTCACAGCCACATGAGCATTACCCTTCTTATTTCTTAGTTTTGTTGGGACCAAATGAGGACGTAGCTTCCAATAAGTATCTTTTGTGTGCTTGGGTTTCTTGCAATGTTCACATATCAGGTCCCGTTTATCTTCCTTCTTCCTATCCCTTTCTGGATCACCCCCTGACTTAGGTTTAACAGCTGTCAGGGCTGGGGAAAGGGGCTAAGATTGCATCATGACTTTCCTCCTGGTCTCTTCACTATGCACCAGGGAGTATGCTTGAGAGAGGGTCACACCATCTCTGGTCAGTATCTGTTGCCGCACAATGTCATATTCTGAATTCAGGCCAGCCAGAAACTCAAAACACCCTATTTGTCTCGACTTGCTTTCTGTGAGTCTGAGCATCTTTGGGGCTCTCCCACTCAAGGGTCTCTAGATGGTCAATCTCATGCCACAAGGATTTCAAGGTAGAGAAGTAGACAGAAACAAGCTTCTCTCCTTGTTTAAGACTGTTCACCTCACACTTTAGTTCATAGGCTCTGCCAACATAAAGGGGTTGGGAATAGGTTTCTTTCACAACATCCCATATCTCCTTGGTTGTCTTTGCCCACAAGTAATTTCGGTTGATATGTGGCTGCATAGAATTACACAGCCATG